TCTCCCACACCCCCCCCCCCTTGTCGGTTCTGCCACAGGGAAGATGGGCATAGTTTTCGAAGTTCCAAGAGCTCACTCATCATCGTGCATGTTTTGTTGGTCGTAAATGCTTTGTACTAGAAGTTTGAACTGTGCGTATGTTAGAGACCCGAAGACTTGGACAGTATTCGGGAAGCTGGGGTCCTGTTTGGCGCTATCGGATTTGGGTATCCTGTATTCGTAAACGCCTTGTTGGGCACCCCTCGTTGGGGTTAGCCAATTCCACGCCTGCAAAAAGGTAGGTTGTCGAATGCGTGTCTATCTACCGTTTCGAACGTTTTCGACGTGACCATGACTGTGCACCTTTCTCACGCACGTCTCCACAATCAGACACCACACGCGGTAGCTGGCGCATAGTATCATAGCTAATGACAAAGCCCCCTAACTTAACCCTCGTGATTAGTTCGACCTTAGAAACCAAGCCTCAACCTTAAGAGACCAAACCTCGACCTTAGAAACCAAACCTGGAAATTCCGTCAGGCCTCAAGAACCATAGGTATGGCTACAAAGCCGGCGGGGGCGGGAGGTGGCGGCCCGAGCGGTAGTTCATGTTCGTTACGAGCCGGACGGATGCGCCCATTGTTGTTAGCCAGTTGTCCGTCTTGGGCTAGGATGTAGCTTGGTGCGCACTGAGGACAGACGTCAATAAACGCGCTCTGACCGCCTTCTACGCCTGGCGGCGGAATGAAGTGACCATGGGGACAGCGCTGTGCATGCTGTGGCTGGTAAGCCCAGACCGCAGGCGGTGGCGCAGCTGCAGGAGGAGGGGCGGCGGCGCCCTGTTGCTGTTTTAGAGCGAGGTACTGCATGATCGTTTCAAGCCTTTGTTTTTCCGCCTCAAATACATTCCGTTCAATCGCTTCCTGGTGCTCCCTTCGCCGTTTCTTGTGCCGATAGTGCACCACTGTGCCCGTGATCACCACCAACAGCAACGCAAGTGCCTAAGCAAAAACAAGTGATCCGTACCCATCAGTCCATGCATCACGGACATGCCACAACTGGGAACCGACTGCACCCATCGGTCTCGGACCTATTTTGACACGCGTAACCTTACCCCTATGCCTCCACCAATTGCCAGCCATAGTTCCCAAGTCATCTTAGAGAAAATGTGTGCCCACCTAGAACACACCCCTCGCCGATGAATTTGACCCAAACATTACCCGGAGTCCATTCTCGTGTTCCCTGACAACTCCTAAGTTAGCCGCCACACTGACAGACGGTAGATTCCAAACAAAAAATTCTTCTTCGCGATTGAAACAACGGTAGGTATGCGATTATCATATCGTCAACGGTAGGCCGATGCGGTAGGTATCCAGCGTCGGGTTTACTTCCAGCGTCGGGTTTACTACCGGTCTCTCTCAACATAGAAGCAACAGCGCTCACTCCTGCTCTTATGTTACTTTGACCTTGTAAGTTACAGTCTTTCCTGGTTGATTTGCCTCCCAGGGTCTCGCGTACAGCATGACGATCTCGTGTTCACCTGGCTCGTGGAATACGAACTCAAAGGACTCCTTACCAGGAGCCCCTGGCATGTTGTTCGTCGGCTTGGTGTATTCGCTGTTCTTGATGGACCAGCTGTCGCTTGCCTCAGTTCCTTTCTCGAACTTCCCAACACCCACCTTCTTGTAGCCTTTTACCATCCAGCAGTAACCAGTTGTCGCGTTGCTGTCCAACTCCACAATTCCGGAGCCGTTAACAGCTACGTCGTTCACGGAGTCTGATGTGAGTTTCATGTTGTATTTTCAAAAATTGACTTATTCACACTTATACTTTTGCCGGCGTGAGAGGCGAGAGACAGCTGTCGCGGGCCCAACTGGGTCGTGGGAGCGGCGAGCGATAGCGAGCGCCACACATCATTTAAATAGAAATGAGTACTACTTGCCAGTTTGAGTTTGCTGTCCGTATTTTGGGGATGAACAGCACGACAATGGCCAACCCGGACATTCGAATGGCCGTTTTACATGCATGTTTTAGGGAATGGTTTCGTGAGCACCGTCGAATACTTGGTGGATCAGAAGTCATATCTAATACGATCAAGAGACAGTACTATCTTCGACGTTATTGGTGCGCGTGGAGGGACTACTACATGGAGTCGCATAATGTCAGAATTACGGTGAAGCTGCTGAACGCAATGCAGCGTACTGAGTTTATGAATAGAACTCCCACGTTATTGTGGTACGAGCGTTACGTGTGTGCGAGAGTGTTCGATAGCATCTTTCTAGTGATGAAACGTCATGAAACAATAGAAACTGGATTGTCCGAAATCCGGTATCGTCGAAATGAGGAACGATTATCTCAATACTTATTTCAATGGTCTGCTTTCGTTGCATATAAAAGAGAACAGGAAAAAATTGCATCGAATTGTTTGACCCAAGTTCGTCTGAAACGCTGGTTTACCTGGTGGGTTGATGTATATATCAGGTCCGTCAAGTCCACGGCAGTATCATCAGTGTATCGTACATATTTGCTCGTTAGTGCATTGGAATTTTGGAGAACTAGAGCATACCATTCAAGAATTGAAACAATTGAGTTTTACTCTAGACCCCTTTCAGCTTTACGAAGATGGAGACTGGTAGCTCGTATTAATCACGTCTTTAGGATCATACAAAATAGACATCGAAATATCTTCCTTAAGAAGTGGGCACAAGAACTTGGACTAAATAAATTGACTAGAACAATTTTGCAGTGGTATCGCGACATTATTCTACATAACGCATTCTCTCTCTGGTTATCCCGAACTAAATTAGCCATAAGATTACAAAAAGGATCATCTGATAATTTCGTCATAAGATCAAGATTAAGCTCTAGTATGGACTCAGTCGGCGTTCGTTTCGATTCTGGATTTATGTCTGATCTAAATGAAGGCAATAAAAATAATCCTGACCCTAGTAGGAGGTATTATAGTCGAAAGACTAGTAAACTCCTAGGCAATAAAATCTCTTCGCAGATTACCACTTGCGCAAGTGAATCTTCTATTCCCTCTTTGAACCTTCTGGTAGGTGATGATACAAGTGAATGCCCTTTCCGGGTACGCAATCAGCCGTTTCCCAAGGCAACTACGACATCGAACGAAGGATCGGATGCGGCATCGAACGAAGGATCGGAACTTGGGGAAATTGAAAAACTAATTATCAACGTTCGTCGGAAGGTTCAGACATGTTCGGCTTTCTATAGACTGCGAGAATATGCATGCAAGGTGAAGGAAATACAAAAACTGATTTGGCGAAGGGGAGCCACACGCGTGTTTGTTGTCTGGAAATATCGGTTAATGAAAAATCGAAGGTTACAACAACTTGAAATAATCTTGGCACTAAGCCAGAGGGTGCCAGATAACCTGTTGATGTCGAAACTCCGGAGCATCGGTATTAAGCATGTTCCCCTCGCCTTTCTTCTACGTCAGGAAAATATCAGGCAGTTGCGTTTAAGTTCGTTATTCAACGCTTGGAAGCAGCAGATGACAATAAATCGCAAATATAAAGCCCGTACCTTCCTCCTTCTGAACCGTATTCGAACAAATCATATTGATTATTATTTCTCTCGGTGGCTTCTGGCATGCGCAGCGACAAATCTAGGCAGAGACTGTCTGCAGAGGATGGCTCGAGAACAATCCCGCGATGCACTGAATGTTTGGAGATCAAATGTAGGAGTACCGCGAATAGCTGGCAGGGAAGCTAAAGGTAATCTCCTTGTCTTAAATTCGTCGTTAAGGGTCCTGAAAACGTCCATGGTGATCTGGGCTGTATGTTATAGTGACTGTGTCCGCCTCAAACTGATAGAGCAAGCTCTTGCCGTGAAATGGGCAACTTACGTTTTAAACAACTACTTTATGGTTTGGCTCTGGCTAGCTAACTTGAAGACCAAGGGACGAAACGCCAAAACCATATTAGAACACCACCAGATCCACAGAACCATGAAAAAAGCGTTTTACAAATGGGCCAAGCTCTATTCGTTACACATTAGATTCTGCAACACCATCAGACCGTATGCCGATTCAGTAAAGAAGCGCCAGCAAAGACTCATTTGGTGTAAGTTCAAGGATATATTGCAACTACAACGTATTGGAGACACCATTTGCCGCAGGAGAATCCTCTCAAGATGTTTTGGGCAATGGCACCACCTTCTGCGAGTCCGCCGGCGTCTTTCCAGCAAGGAAATTATTTTGCGCACACGTGTCCTAATTCCGCCGATCACTAGACGCATTTGGCAAGCATGGTATTCAGCAGCCCAGAAACGCAGAAAAATGTCTCAAAAGCTAATTTATCTTCTTCAATGGAACCGATCAATGATACTGAGGCGGACTTTCTACCGGTGGCATAAGCACTTCAAAGAAGAAACGATGCATAAAGATTGTTTGCAATATCTGGTTGACAAGCGGAAGTTCTCTCTCATGCAGAAGTCCATAAGGTCCTGGACGGTTGCCAGAGATCGTTGGCACCGCCTCATTCTCCGGCTCAAGGATGTCAAGTACCAATACACAGACATCAGCACGGAGTCGAGCTACATGGTGATGGACCACGACGACAAGCCTATGGACGTTACCGGCCACCGGACGACGCACCATCAGATGATGGGTCGCGAGGCGATGCGCCGCAAGACCGCGGACCTCAACGCCTTCTCCTTTAGCGCCTTGGGCCTTAGCTCAGTAAATTCAAATCGCGGTGTCATGAAGCGGAGTACCAAGGCCGCCGACGCATACATCCCCCGGCCGCACAACCGCTATGAACAGCCGGGCGACTCTTGTACAGAATCATCTTACTCTTATGCACAGCGTGACTCTTTCACCCAATATCCCACTCAGTCTTTGAGCAGTTTCGTAGATATCCCCAGCATGGAATTTGCTGGCAGCCACTTGGCGGGTAGTCACCTCCCAAGCATTTCGGAGGCGCTTGTGCCGGGGGGCTGGTGCGACGAGAGGCACAGCAACTTCGAGGGGCTCAGTAGTCTCGACGGGCTCAGTAGTCTCGACGGGCTCAGCAGCTCTGAAGGGCCGCCCGCCGTTCGGGGCGGCCAGCCAGGGCCCGCGGCAGAGGCTGGGTACCTGCAGTCCGCGTCTTCGCTCCCACTCGTGACGCCGCTCTTGTCGCCGCGGGTCTACCTCCAGTCGCACGGCATGTCCGCAGACACGTGTCCTTCGGGCCTGGGCGCCACGGCTTCTTCGCGGGCGTTCTACTTCCTGTCCGACCTGTCCCACTGTGGCGGCGACCCTTGCGGCACAGACTTTTATGGCCCGTCTCTGGCGGGCCCGTCGAGGGCCAGCTCACCTCTCGCCGGACCGCCCCTTGCCGTCCCGTCGCTCGCCAGCCAGGAGGACAGCAACGTCCTCTACGACCACAGCCCCCAGGTCGACCACGGCTTGCGCGAAATCCGCGGCTGCGGCGGTAAACGCTGGAGCCATCACACTATCGACTTTTCCTCCGGCCCAGGCCCCGACCTGGCGCCCTTCGGCTCTGCCCTGACCACACACCTCGACGACGGCCTCCCTTCCCAACTGGACTCTCGCCTCCTCTCGCCCCTGGACCACCAGGAATCTTACCAACACCGCGAAGGCTCACACCGAGACCCATACCTCGACCACCTCGATCACGGTCATCTCGATGACGACCACGAGGACCGCCTCGACCAGCGAGTTAGGGCACCTTACCAGCTGGATGCGCCCGACATCCGTCTGGAGGTGGCGGACTACAGTCTGACGTACTCCAGTTCGATGCGCGACAGAACGACGGGGCTGACGGAGGCGGCCGGCGGTCTGACGCCCGACGCGACAGTCAGTTGGCAGGTCACGGAGGCGACGGACGTGCCACGGCTGGAGGATGCAGGGCGGCAGGGCG